AAAAAACCAGAAAAAGAAAAAGACTTGTCATGCTCAACATCACTAGTTCCCAGAGAAAGGAAAATTAAAACCATAATGAGATACCCTCCAGAATAATATCAAACTGTTGGCAAGGATATGGAACAATCAGACCTTTCATATGGTGCTGGTGGGAATTACCATAAATCAGTATGATCACTTTAGAAAAGTGTTCTGTGTCTACCAAAGCTAAATATATGCATAGCATATTCTATATGACTCAACAATTTCATTCCTCTGTAAATCTAACAGAAATGTACATACAGGTTCACCAAAGGACATAGGTAAGAATGCTCACAGCAGCATTACTTACAATAACCCCAAATTGAAACTAACTAAAATCAAATACTAAACATCAATAAAAAGAAATGAATTGGTACTCAAAGTGGCACAAACTATTATGAGTACTACTTAGCTTTTTTTTTCATTTTTTTTGGGGGGGAGGGGGGGAATGGGCGGGCAGTACTAGGATGAACTCAGGGGCACTCGACCACTGAGTCCCATCCCCAGTCCTATTTGTACTTTATTTAGAGAAAGGGTCTCACTGAGTTGCTTAGCACCTTGCTGTTGCTGAGGCTGGCTCTGAACTTGCATTCCTTCTGCCTCACCCTCCTGAGCTGCTGGGATTATAGACATGCATCACCTTGCCCAGCACTACTGATCTTTTAAAAGATAAATTCCACAAACATACCACTGAGCAACAAAAATCAGACACATAAGAGTATATACAATTCTATTTGCATGAAACTCAAAAGTAGACAAAACTAGGGGCTGGGGTTTTGGCTCAGTGGTAGAAGATTCACCTAGCACATGCAAGGCCCTGGGTTCGATCCTCAGCACCACATAAAAATAAATAAATAAAATAAAGGTATTGTGTCCAACTACAACTAAAAAATAAATATTAAAAAAAAAGTAGACTACCATGTAAGAAGTTGAGATAATGGTTATGAGTAGTAAATAGTGTCTGAGAGTGGTAATAAAGAACTCTAAAAAAATTGGTAATGCTCTCTCCTGATTTTGGAGTGGCAATACAGATGTGATTGCTCAGTAAATATTCATTCAGCTGTACACCTGTATACTTTTCTGTTATTTTGGTGCTAGGGAATAAACCCATGGCATTGTGCATGCTAAGCATTCACTCTACCACTAATCTAAACCCCCAGCCCTATAAGATTACTATTATTACATTTTGAGATGTGGGGCTCACTATGCTGCCAGGTTGGTCTCAAACTCAAGGGCTTAAGTGATCCTTCTGCCTCAGCCTCCCAAACAGCAGGGACTACAGACATGCATGACTATACCCAACTACTGTTTAAAGTAATATAGGTATATGTTGTATCAGAAAGTTGTAGGCAATTTTATAAAGTAAAATCTCTCAGTTTATAGCCCCACAAAGGTAACTGATAATGGTTTTGTGGAAATATAGATTATTCTAAGCATACACAAAACACACACACATAAATCCACACAGCTTCTTTGTAGATCAAAACATAAAAATGAGACCATACTATACACTCTACAATTTATATCTGTTTTTCTTAATGCTATTAATAGGTTTCCTTCCTGTCCAGTTATTCTACCAGTAGTATGCCATTCCATACTTCCATCACAGCTATAAGGCCATATTACACGCCAGGTATTGTAGCACATGCCTGTAATCCCTGCAACTTGGGAGGCAGAGGCAGGAGGATCACAAGTTTGAGGCTAGCCTCAGCAAGGTGCTAAGCAACTTACTGAGACCCCGACTAAAAAGAAAGGGTGGAGGGCTGGGGATGTGGCTCTGTAGTTAAGTGGCCCTGGGTTCTAATCACTGGTATTTAAAAAAAGAAAGGCTATACTACACAAAAAGTTTATTTAACCTAGATCCTATTTACTGTGTCCAGTTAACTGAAGAAAATTTAACCATGCAGAGGATTTGGAGTGTTAAGTACAACCAAACCTTTTCATTTCCATTTTCTTTTTCTCTGGTTATTTAGTGCTACTGGAAAATATTTTTGTTAATAATTCTAATTCTATGCCTACAGTTGAAGAGAGGAAATGCAGGTCTTGCCAAGTCCGGGAAAAGTGAATTTATAATTTCCCTAGGGTCCTTTTACAAAGCTCCTCCATATTACCATTTATCCTGCTTCATAAAACCATAACGATTTTTAGAACAAATCTAGCTTTACAAAGCAAACAAAAATCAGGTCACCTGTTTAGAAAGACAATCTATTTCATAGGTAAAGTGGGAACTTTTCCTCCTAAGGAACATAATGAATTTCAAATGTGTTAAGTTCTTTACAAAGGAAGTAGATCTGCTGAACAGTCTGCCCTGAGCTCTCCTCAGTGGGATGTAACAGACATCCACAGGAAGCATGTTTAGATAACTTGAGATGGGACAGGGATGTAGTGGCAGAGCCTAGTATATGTGAGACCCTAGGTTAAAAAAAAGGGCACCTAGAGACTACAGGGCTAGTGGGGACCATGGAGGGGGTTAACTGAATTTATATAATCTGAAAAAGTATGACACAGTACAGAGGGGGCTCTAGATATAAAGAAAATGGCCATTACATGTGTATATATGTTTCTAAAACAACCTGGCCAGAATTTATTTATTTATTTCCTTCCTTCCTTCATTTCTTTTATTACAGTGCTGGGGATTAAACCCAGTGTCTCATGCATGTGAGGCAATGCCTACCACTGAGCTACCCTTTAACCCCTGGCCAGAATTTCTTTCTCTTCCCTTTTTTTTCCTAAATGTTTTTTTGTTATAGATAAACAAAATACTTTGTTTATTTTTATGTGGTGCTGAGGATTGAACCCAGTGCCTCACATACTAGACAAGTATTCAGCCACTGAACTACAATCCTAGCCGTAAGCATTTCCTTACTGCAGGATGTAAGCTTATTGTACAACCAGGTAGCACTTCACATAAGACACTCCTATTATGTACTCAGATTAGCTTAAGACCTGGCAAAGCCCAAAGGGCGATGTAGCTTCTGGTGGCCTCTGGGCAGTGGTAAAGGCAAAAGCAAAAGACTAGCAGGCCTCACCTGCATGATGCTGTTGAGGCGAGGCTGGAGGCTGCTCAGGTATTCCTTCTTCACCTCAATCTCCTTAAGGATTTTCTCCTTGTTGGACAGGCACTCTCGGTACTTCTCCGCCAGCCTGAGAGAGTAAACAGAGCGCTGTCACCTGATGCCTTGAAGGGACATCTCAACAATTAATCTAGGTATAAAAATACAGTATATATATTTTTTTCATACTGGAATTTTCATGGTTGCTTCTCTCCTGTTAGAGTAATTTTTTATATTTGTTCAAGAATTCTAGGGTTTTTGAATGGTACATCTGTTTTTTTACATAAGCAGCATTTTCCAGACTTGCCTTTTTCTGTAATAAGAGAGGAGAACAGGTCAGACTCTACCTATAATAGCAGCTACAATTAAATGCTGATGTTTGGGGCTGGGGTTGTGGCTCAGTGGTAGAGTGCTTGCCCCTTGTATGTGTGAGGCCCTGGGTTTGAGCCTATAAATAAATAAAATAAAAGATCCATTGATAATTAAGAAAAAATTTTTTAAATGCTAATGTTTGCCAACATTTGCCATGTGCAAGACCCTTAGGGAACTCTTTATAAGAACTATCACATTTAGTCCTTATACAAACACAGGAAGATCTTATCCCTAAAGGAAAAAACTAAGGTTCCAGGAGGCATTAACTTGCCCAAAGACATCTAGTTAAGAGCAAACAAATGAATCCATCCCTGTTCTCTCTAGAAGTTCCACCTGTAACCACTAGAGAATACCTCTGAACTTCCATAAACCTGGATCAAGCAGTTATGGACATTCTATAAAACCTCTTCATTAATACAAAGCCCATAGACTGGCCTGAGTGAGGCAGGATGGGAATGGATTTTGGATCAGTGCCACAGGTTTGCAGCACTCATGGTTCAGCCTATGCCTGGGTCAAAAAATCAACTTAACAGGGGAGTGACAGTCCAGGTCCCTCTGCTCAAACACAGAAACAGGGGAGTGACAGTCCAGGTCCCTCTGCTCAAACACAGAAACAGGGGAGTGACAGTCCAGGTCCCTCTGCTCAAACACAGATGTAAATTCCCTAAGAACCAGACTCAGTGCAAAGTGTCTAACATGGACCAAAGGGACAGAATATCTCCTATTACAGAAAAAGGCAAGTATAGAAAGTGCTGCTTATGTAAGGAAAAAGAGGACAGATTTGCCAGTCAAAAACCCTAGAATTCTTGTACAAATCGGCAACAGGAGAGAAGCAACCATGAAAATTCCAGATGGAAAAATACATATACTGTATTCTTGACCTAGATTAACTTGCAGATTAAAAACATTCTATTTATGATTAATAAAGAAAAGCTCTTTATTAGTATAGAAAAATTTAATATGTAAACAACATTATTTATGGTAGCAAAAATGGAAATAACCTAAAAGTTCAACAGGGGGAAAGGACTTTTTTTTTTTTTTTTTTAAATATTTATTTTTTTTTAGTTCTCGGTGGACACAACATCTTTGTTGGTATGTGGTGCTGAGGATCGAACCCGGCCGCATGCATGCCAGGCGAGCGCGCTACCGCTTGAGCCACATCCCCAGCCCAGGAAAGGACTTTTTAAGTTATATTTTTCTATACACTAAAATGTTGTACAACTTTCTAAAATAACAGAAAGCATATGATGCTGCAGGATTATGCTTAAAGATGGGGGAAAAGGCAAAACTAAAATTAGATTTATGGTACAAAAGACACAGGTCTCAGGTATTGAAATTTTTAAAAAATATTTTTTAGTTGTAGTTGGACACAATATCTTTTATTTTTTTATTTTTATATAGTGCTGAGGATGGAACTCAGGGCCTCACACATGCTAGACAAGCACTTTGCTGCTGAGCCACAAAGGTATTGAAATTTTAAAGAAAAAAGGTTACTTTGCTGTGTATGATGGTGCATATCTGAAATCCCAGCAGCTCAGGAGGCTGAGGCAGGAGGATCACAAGTTTGAGGCCAATCTCAGGAACTTAGCAAGGCCCTACGCAACTCATCAAGACTCTACCTCGAAATAAAATAAATAAAAAGGGCAGACTGGAATTGTGGCTCAGTGCTAAAGCACTTACACAGCATGTGTGCGGCAATGAGTTTGATCCCGGCACCATATAAAAGTAAATAAATAAACAAAATAAAGGTATTGTGTCTGCCTACAACTAAAAATAATTTTTTAAAAAATAAACAAATAAAAAGTGGGGGGCTGGGGCTATAGTTCAATGATAGAGAGCTTGCCTCACATATGTGGGGCACTGGGTTCAATCCTCAGCATCACATAAAAATAAATGAATAAAGATATTGTGTACATCTACAAATAAAAAAATATAAATAAAAGGGTATGTAGCTTAGTAGAAAAATGTCCCTGGATTCAATCCCCACTACCTCCCTAAAAAAAAAAAGTTACTTTAATGGCCATGTGTGGTGGCTCCTGCCTATACTCCTAGTTAATCAGAGGCCTGAGGCAGGAGGATCACTTGAGTCCACAACATGGTGGCCAGCCTGAAAAACACAGTGAGACTCCATCTCAAAAACAAAACCCAAAAACCAAAATCAAAACAAAACAAAACAAAAACACCACTCCAACTTTCTATTAATAACCTTAAGCAAATATAATCCCACCCATGATGAGGTTGGTCAGGTTTGGCCTCAAAATGAAATAAAATGGGCTAGGAATGTAGGTCAATGGAAGAGTGTTAGCCTAGAGGTCCTGGGTTCAGTCACCAACTCTACAAAAAAAAAAAAAAATTGTTTTGGAGATTATTCTACTAATTGCACAGTATTTGGCTGACTGATCCTGGATCATGACAAAGCACTATCACTCTATGGTTAGGAAGATCAGGAAGGAGAAGCCAAGCATGGTGGTAAACACCTATAATCCCAGCAATTCAGGAGGCTGGGGCAGGAGAATCAAAAGTTCAAGGTCAGCTTCAGAAATCTAGTGAGGTCCCAAGCAACTGGCAAGACCCTGACTCAAAATAAAAAAATAAAAACTGGCTGGGGATGTGGCTCAGAGGTTAAGTGCCCCTGGGTGTAACCCTCAGCAACAAACAAACAAAGCAGCAGCAGAAGCCAAGCAAAAGTAAATTCTACCTTTTCCGTTGCTCCAATTCCCAGTCCAGTCGTGCTAAGGTCTGCTGATGAGGGTCTCCCATGGTGACTTCAGCTTTGCTGATGTCTGGTGGAGCCTCCTTATAAAATTCCTCTAAACTAACCAGATCTATTTCTTCATGCTTTGACCTACAGGAATAAAACAGATGTCAAGCTGTGTTCTCAAGAACCCAAACTGTGGCTTAAATTGGGAGTCCCTTCAACTGCACTCACTCAGCCCTAATCCACAATTACTCAAGATACTGGAATCCAATTTCAGAATATGCTCATTAGCAGATGTTTCAGTATGATGAGAGGTCACTGGTGACATGCGATAGGATCCTTGTCCATGCTGTCCAACCTTTTTATCTATGAATTAGCTAAAGACCTGGAAAGGATACTTACTGAATTTACAAATATCTCCCAGTTGAGCAGGAGAGCTAAGAGTCAAAATCAATACAGCCTAGACCTAAACTGTCAGGTTGAAAGTAGGACATGTCCTGGAACAAGAATAAACGTAAGAGTCTGAATGTAAGTTCAAAACACTAAGTATAAGAGGGAGGGAGATCCAGCATGCCAGAACCAGATGTAAAAAAGATAAAAGATTTTAATCGTTACATGAACAGTGACATACTGGTATAAAAGAAAATAAATCCAATACTTTTTGATGCATCAAGAAAGTTGAGGGCTCAGATCAGGCCACATTTTCGTGGTCATGGTCAGCAACTACTACGTATTAATTAGTACCCACCAGCTGGGCGGTGGGTACACTCCTGTTCTTTGTTTTGTGTTTTGGTACCAGGGTAAACCCAGGGGCACTCAACCACTGAGCTCCATCCCCAGCCCTATTTTGCATTTTATTTAGAGACAGGGTCTCACTGAGTTGCTTAGTTCCTGGCTGTTGCTGACTGGGATTACAGGCATAAACCACAACACCCAGCTAGTGGTACACTCCTGTAATCCCAGGGACTTAGAAGGCTGCGGCAGAGGGGAACACAAGTTTGAGGCCAGCCTCAGGAATTTAGCAAGGCTTTAGGCAAATTAGCAATACCCTGTCTCAAAATAAAAGATAAAAAAGGACTGAAGATGTGGCTCAGTAAGTAGTAAAACACCTCTAAGTTTAATCCCTAATACCGCATCAACTGCCCCCAGAAAAAAAATAATTAGCACCCTATATATGTGTGTCTTCACTTAATTTAATCTTATAACAATTCTAGGATGTGGGGATTTTTATCCCCATTTTTCAAGTGAGATGGAGGCTTTTATTCAGTGCATAGTAGAGTTCAGACATGGACCCAGGCTATCTAACTACAGCTCTTTTCACATGGCTGCCTACTGCCCCACAGGCCCGAATTCCACTGCATTCTGAGTTTGTCAGCTTCCATCTGAGCAATGATTTTGGAATGGTGCATTGTATTCTTTTATTTTGTTTTCACACTTTTTAAATTCTGATAAAGTTTAAGATTCACAAGAAGTTTCTAACAAAGTACTGAGAAGGGAGAGGAAGAGGTTGATCAATAGGTACAATGTTATTGTTCAACAGGAAGAAAAAATTCTAGTGTTCTAAAGTATAGCAGGGTTAAGTAAAATGAACTTTTAAGTTTCTCAAACTGTTGGAAGAGAGAAGTATGAATGTACTTACCATAAACAAATGATGAAAGTTTAAAATCATGGATGCCAATTATTCTGAGTTGATTATTATTCAATGTATACATGAATCAAAACACCATATTGTATCTCATAAACATGTACAAATATTATGTGTCAAACTACTGAGAAGTTTATTTTCTGTGTACTCTTTGTCCAGGTTCCCCCAATGATAATAAATATAGTACACTATCAAAACCAACAAACTAAGAATGGTACAATAGTATTAACTGATGCAATTTTTTTTTTTGAGAGAGAGAATTTTTTAATATTTATTTTCTAGTTTTTGTCGGACACAACATCTTTATTTGTATGTGGTGCTGAGGATCAAACCCAGCGCCGCGCGCATGCCAGGCAAGCGCACTACAGCTTGAGCCACATCCCCAGCTCTAACGCAAATTTTTTATTAGTACTTTCTTGGGGTGGGGGGGAGAGTGGGGACACAGGTACCAAGGATTAAACCCAGGGGCACTTAACCACTGAGTCACATACCCAATCCTTTTTATGTTTTACTTTGATAGGGTCTCACCATGTTACTTAGAGTCCAACTTGCTGAGGTTGGCTTTGAACTCATAATCCTCCTGCCTCAGGCTCCTGATCTACTGGGATTATAGGCATGAGCCACCAAGTCCAGATCTCTATTAGTATTTAAGTGTTAATATGTAACATGTACCTCAAAAATCAGCATCATCACTTGGGAGGCTGAGGCAGGAAAACTGCAAGTTCAAAGACAGCCTCGACAACTTAGTGAGGCCCTAAGCAACAGTGAATCCTGTCTCAAAATAAAAAAAGGCTGGGGATGTGCCTCAGTGGTTAAGTACTCTTGGGTTCAATCCCCAGTACTTAAAAAAAAATAAAATAACAACAAAACTCAGGATTATCATCACTAAAGATATGCTGGACCCTGATGTCAAATGTGTCCCCATTCATACCAAGTTTGTTACAAATAAGATCTGCCTTCTTTCAGTTTGCACAATGTCTGTCCAAGCAAGAATTCCTTCCTTTCTCTTACCATTTACTCCTTCCTCTATCTCATCTCTCAGCTTGGTTTTGCCGAGAGGTATCACATCCTAAGATTACTAATAAACTGTAGGTTGTTCTTCTGAATATAGCTAAGGAGCAAGAAGTTCAAGTCCAAAGAATAAGATTCATATGCAAAAATGAACCGCTGTGCTTTCAGAGAGGAAAACTGGGCCAAAGGGTTAAAAGGATATGATTGGGAGATTGAGAATTGTAACTTGGGAGACTGAGGGAAAAGCTGTACTGACCTTGGCTCAAAATGAAAAACAAAAAGGACTCAGGATGTAGTTTAGTGGTAAAGCACCTCTAGATTCAATCCCTAGTACCAAAAAAAAAAAAAAAAAAACCTGCTCCCATATAATGTGTCCAGGAATCAAACTGGTAAAGTAAAGACCCCTGCTGGGGACAGAGAAGCACTCTTTACTAACTGTAGAGTTCACAAACTCAAAAGGATCAGAGAGGCTTCTATGGTTCTTTGTGCAGCCCCAAACTACAGCTTACAATTCTACCACTCAGAGTGATCTATTCACCCTTCTCCTAGATCCTGCAGTCCTTCAAGCTCATTGAATTTCTTTTCAAAGAAACTAGCTCGCACTGAGCTATGTAGGAATAAGCAGTTACAATAGACCAGGTGTATCAAAGCCCTGAGCTCCCAAACTCACTTAAATTCCAGACATTTAGTGATCTCCTTCTGTAGGTGCATCACCTCATACAGCAGGTTCTGTAGTTGCAGGTGATAGGCGTCTACTTTCTGCTTAGCCTGAAGGAAAGACAAGGCTGAAGGTGAGAGCAGGTTAAGTTGGGGTGGGACAGAGCATCTGCAAAGTCAGAAAAGGGGAAAAGGGGATAGAGAAGGGGATGAGGAAAAGCAGGAAGGAGGATTCATAAAATCTTTCAACTCTACCTCATGGGTCTGATCCCTTCCTTTCTTCAACCTTATGTGGGCTAATCGGTTAAGCTTCTTTAGAGTCATGAAATGTACACAGCTTTGGATCCTTCGTTCTTCAATTTCAATTGCCTGAGGGCAAAGAAAAAGGTAAAGACCACTAAGAATAGGTGCTGTCTCAGCTTCCTTCAGACCCTCCCTGTCGACCCATTCCCATTCAGGACCAAAGGAAGACACCAGGGGGAGCTCTAAACCACAGGTACTGTCATGAGGGAAACACCAACAGAAGGGTTGACTGTACAAAGGAAGTGCCTAAGGTTCCCAGGCAGAAAAGCAATTTCTACTTAGACTGGAGTGACAGGAATTAAAGATAGACCAGATGCAGCCAATACACGATTAATAGCTTTCCCTAAGATCCTAAAGAGAACTTCATAATAGTAGCATTGTGACTCAAAATCTGACTTCTATCAATAGCATTACAGAATAATTTAAGTGATAATAACAAAAGTACAGACATAAAGTTTGGCTACAATAAAACAGAAATGATGTAATAACTTTAGTAATGTTAGCCAGCTTAAGCACAAATAAGATCCCTGGGGAAAAGATGAAAAGTATTTTTTAATTTATCTAGTTTTTAGACATAAACGATAACTTCATTTTTGGTCTCTACCGATTTACTTATGCATACTCATTCTATCACATCAAGGGAATTGATATGTACCACCATTTCTCAGCACTAAGCAAAAATGCTGGCTACTTATGTAATAAATGTTATGTCAAAGAATGATCAAATCAAAGTTTTAAAAAAATAATTATCCTGTACATTCATTACCATAATGGGTAATCAGGTAATGATGACAGGTTCCAATTAATTAATAGGTAGCTCTGGAGCCTGTAGGCTCCAACCACCTGATTATGGCTAGAACAGAAGATGAAGATCAAGAAGGGCCCCGGTAGGTGCAAAAGGTACCCCTCTGCGTAGACCTACCAGGTTCAAGTTTGCCTGGTTCCATTCCTTACCATATCCTTGCCGCCCCGGCTCTTCAGATCCTGGATCTCAGCCATCAGCCTCTGTAGCTCCTGGCACGTGTACTTATACAGCTCATAGTCTCTGCCAGGGTCCCGCAGGTCCACCTCAGCCTCCTCGCTATAGTATTTACCTTCCTGTGAAGGCAAGGAGAGAGGCCCCAGGTAAGAAATGAGTCTCCCTGTTGGGACTAGAGACACTTGACTGAGATCTCTTGTTAAACATGTACAATTAACAATGAAGCCCCAAATTAGGTCACTAAAGAAAATGGTCCTCATATCAAATGTTTTCATTTTCAAAACAGAAACTTCTTTTTCGTATTACAAAGTATGCATATTTGGTGTCTAAGAACAAAAACATCACAAAGTTCAAAGTCAGTCTCAGTAACTCAGCAAAACCCTAAGCAACCTAGTGAGACCCTATCTCAAAATAAAAAAATAAAAAGGGCTGGGGATATGGCTAATGGCAGTGTTTAATCAATCCCCAGTATTAAAAAAAAAAAAAAAATAACTTCCTATAATTTTACTTTCCAGCCCCAAACAATTCCATTGTGAATACTATGAATAAATATATATTTTTAAGCAAGACAGAATCATCATTGTCTGTTATTCAGTGTAACTTCTCATAAAAATAAATATAGATTTCTATCAAAACAGCTGTATGGGTCTGGGGTTGTGGTTCAGTGATACAGCGCTTGCCTCATACATGTGAGGCTCTGGATTCAATCCTCAGCACCACATAAAAATTAATTAATTTGGGCTGGGGATGTGGCTCAAGCGGTAGCACGCTCGCCTGGCATGCGTGCGGCCCGGGTTCGATTCTCAGCACCACATACCAACAAAGATGTTGTGTCCGCTGAGAACTGAAAAATAAATATTAAAAAATTCTCTCTCTCTCTCACTCTCTCTCCTCTCACTCTCTCTTTAAAAAAAAAAAAAGATAATTAATTACAGGTATTGTGTTCATCTACAGTTAAAAAAAAATAATCCACTGTAGAGATAAGCCAAAAATCACTTAATCAAATTTCTACTGATAGATATTTAGATGGTTATACCAAGCTTTGGCAGACTATAATATCAAAACTAAGACAAGGGCTGGGGATGTGGCTCAAGCGGTAGCGCGCTGGCCTGGCATGCGTGCGGCCCGGGTTCAATCCTCAGCACCACATACAAACAAAGATGTTGTGTCCGCCGAAAACTAAAAAATAAATATTAAAAATTCTCTCTCTCTCT